ATCATTCAAAACTGAGAAAAGAGACGATAAAACAAGAAAGAAAAATAAAGAAAGTAAAAGAAATTGAAAATTAAGTAAAACTTAAACTAAATAAAATGAAAGAAACTTAAGTAAGAAATTTGGAGTTGGGACCCATCTCATGACTGCATGTTGATTTATACCTTGATGCCTTCAATTATACCTTGATGCTTTCAATTATGCCTTAAGGGATTGGGCTGGAAGTTGAATTAGATATAAGATTCTTTCTTTCCAGGGTCTTGATTTGAAAATTGTAGGGAATTTTGAATTATAGAGGATATGACTTGTAGGGAATTAAGGTTTCTAGCCCAGGGTTTCATAGCTTAAAAAATTTCAAGAATTTTTTTGGGAATTTCTTTGAATTTAGATTGTCCAATTTTTAAGTGATTTTCTATTAAATTTTGGGATGATTTAAGGGTGTTGATTTATGGAAGGCTGAGGGTTAAATAGGTTTTGATTAATGGAATATTTAGGAAATATTCCCTTAGGGTAGGGATCATAGGCTTATCTTGAGAGATCTAGATCAATTACGATTAGCTCGTAGGATTTAGATAGAGTAAAATATAGAGTCAAACTACCTTTTAGGAAATGAACCATTGTCTAATGTGGGCTGGACGGTATTTCTACAATATGAGATCCAAGGTATAAAGCATTCATCTTAAAGATGGAAACAAATATAAAAACAATTGTAACCAAACGCTTCAAATGTTTTTTTAATATAATTATCATTTTTAGTTTAATTTTTTTTTTTTTATATTAATGAACTCCATGTTAAAGATTATATATTTTTTAAAAATTAAGATCAAATTATATTTAAAAATATATTTATTGTCAAGTTCACATTTCTACAATATTCAAGCTGGCCGCATGCTAACCACGCTCTTAAAAAAATCCATATTCTTTGACTAAGAAATCCATTATTTCTGGAATTTTCTAGAACTAGAAGTATTGCAGCGGCGCGTTCCATGTGGTTAGGCCTGCTGGGCTTAGCACGCAACATGCGTCATTGGGCTATTTTGGCCCAGTTTTTTCCCTCATGGTCTCAAGTCCAAGAATAGTATAAGAAAATAGTTTGAAAAAGGTTGGCCACTTCCCATGACTTTTATTAAGGACTCAGTTATTGATACGGTGACATCCAAACCCACCGCCATAAATAAGGAAATCTCATAAGGAAATATCATGTTATATGGGATTGATGTTTAATATTAACAAATTACCTAAGTTATTTAGGAAATCTTTTTTGGTTTATTATTTGCTATGAATTTACAATATATGTGAGAAATGGGAGGAAAATAATATTCGTGCCCAAGTTGGGTCTTATGGAAAAAGTGGGCTTCCTCTTGAACTAGAGGGGGGCAGTCCAACATCAAGAAGTCGGGCCTTCATAGGGATACAAGCATCCGTATAAAGATAATTGAACTTTATGAAGAGATAAATACTGCTATAGTGCCTCTTGCAGAGTTAGATACTAATTTCATGTAGTGAAATTGTTCTCATGGAGATATTAGGTCGTAATCCCTTTTATGAGAAAAACTCTTGATTGCTCTCCATTTTAATTGTGGAATAGAGATGTAAGATAGGCTGGTGATGTCAGTCAAAAGAACTGGTGTAAAGGGTTGCTTGATTGGGTTTGTTGAGGGTTAAATGGATGATATTGTGTCTTAGAATCTATGATGTAAAAATTTGTCATGTTTGTAGATGTAGGCCATTTCGGGCGAACCACATAAATTTTTGTGCTCTTGTATTGTGTATGTTCTTGTATTTTATTTCTCATGCTCTTATTGTCGTCCATACATACTAT